GGATTCAGATCCTACAGGGGAACACAAGAATTCTTCATTCATCCCTATCAGCAGGTCAAGGATAAGACATGTACACCACTGAGGGCACTGGCAAAGGAGTCAAGTTTGAATAGAAACGCCAAAGTCACCAGGGCACACGGTCACGACTGAAGGTGACTGTGCCCAGAGGTTAAGCTCTATCCTAGTGGAAGAAGAAGTGATACCTATTCTACCCAAGTCTATAAAAGCTCCACTTATGGGTAAGCACGTATGACCCCAGCGGAGGTGACATGAATGGACACCTCACTCCTCATTCTGGGTGCACACAGGACAGAGTTCCACAGCTACAAATCCAGGCCCAGACCCACGCAGTATTCAAGAGCTCATTGACACCTTCATGGTACTCTCTGGCTTCTGGCAAATTGCCAGGGATGCCAAGGCCTTGTCCAGACAGGTGAAGGGAGCTGCACTTTTGGAATGCACCACTCTTTGGAGGTCTCCAGCTCATGGCCTGAGGGCCAGGAACGAGGTCCCAGTAGGATTAGGGAGCCCTCCAGTGCTCGTCTTGAGCACCTGGTCAAGTATCTTTCCTGATCACTTGAAACAGGATCCCACAGGAGAGAGGTCACCAGCACCCTCCACCCTCCAACATCAGACCCAGAACTGGCTCCCCAGAGACTCCACCTTCCTCCCCATGAAACCCACAAGGACATGAAAAGAGAGGGGCCCACCATGCACTTCATCCTATCAGTTTCAAACAAAAATTTGTCCAGAAATAGTGAGCCCTAGGGAGAGCTGAGAGGATTATTTACCTGCTGTTGATGCATTTGAGGCTGTGGCCGGCCAAGTGTCTATAAATTGCAACAAAGAGAAAAGACAAAATTAATATATAAGTCACGTTCCACACTCAGGGCACTTTCTAATGGCCAAAGTCACCCAGGCGGGCAGTCACCTTTGAATATGGCCGGAGAATACGCTTTATCACAGAGAAAGTGCTGACAGCCTACTTTGCCCAGGTCTATGGAAGCTCAAGTTTTAGGGGCACCTGTGACCCCAGTGGAGGTGATAAGAATGGACATCCCACTTCCCAATCTGTGTACACACAGGATGGAGCTGGACAGCTGCACATGGCATGCCCAGACCCCTCCCTTAATCAGGAGCACGGTCCTGTCTGGGATCTGGCTGGCAAAGTACCAGAGTTGGTAGGACCTTGGCCAGACAGGTGCGAGGACAGGCACTTTTACCTACTTTCCAGGCCTGCATGCATCCCATGGCCTCAGGACTAGGAATGAGGTCCCCATAAGATTAGGGAGACCCCCCCAGGGCTCATCCTGAGCACATGGATGGGGATCTTTCCTGACCACTTGGAACAGGATCCCACAGGAGAGAGGTCACCAGCACCTCCCACCCTCCAACATCACATCTAGTTCTGGGTCTTCAGAGACCCCACCATTCTCTCTACCCAACCCACAGAAACATGAAGAAGTGAGGCGCCCACCTCATCCTATCATGAGGCTAAGGGTTCTTAATGATGTTCTGGGAGGTCCCACCCCTGTTCCCAGTGCCGAGCTCAACCTTGAGCCTACTGTTTTTCACCTGCTGCCATTCTCCCACCCTAACCCCACTTCCCCACCTCTCTTCATGGCAATCATAAGTGAACTATAAAATCCAATGTGTATACAGAGGTAGAGAGTGAGCTCCGGGGAGTGCTGAGAGGATTATTTACCTTGTATGAGTACAGGTGATGTCCTGGCAGGCCAAGTGTCTGTAAACAGCAACAAAGAGAAATGATACAGTTGGACTTGAAGGGAAAAAGGTAAAAAGCAAGCAGTTCTCTAGAGCAGGCAAGCATTGTGAAAACGATTCCACTCCCAGGTCTGGCCAATTGCTCCCCATGTGTCTACCCAGGACTCCTGCCCAAGGAACTGATTCAGAGACAAAGGACACCATGCAGGCCCTTCCATCTCTCTCTAAGACAGGGATGACCTCTTCTCAGTTAGGAAACCTTCACCACCCCCAAAACCACCATCCACTGACCCACGGACTGACTGGCACATCTGACACCATTGCCAAGACTCTGACACTTGCAGCTAAAATGTTTGAGGGACCAGGGGTCCACCTGGGGGAAAATCAGGTTTCCTGGTAAGTGAAGGCACCAGAAACATTTCTTAGCCTTTCTCTCCCCAGAACATGAATTCTGCCTCTTCTGGATGCAGATGTGGCCCTGCAGAACCTGGGGATCTTTCAAGTAGTGGGACATGGAGTATCAGGCTTGTACTGACCTTGCGTTCAACAGAACATTAGAGGGTATCACCCACAATTCTCAGAAAGATTCTATCAGCCCTGAATATAAAGGGGCCGAGGCTCACTCAACAGGGGGCCTCTTTCTGAACCTGTAAGCCTTCCATTGGGACAGCATGGAACTATGTGATGAAAGCTGAGACGGATTGAAGAGCAGGCAGAAGCTGAATACTATGCGTGGTTAGGAAGCACCATGCTGGGGTCTCAGTTACAGGGAGAGCGGGCAGGGGGTAATAATATGCCCCAGAGTATCTCTGCAGAGAAGCAGGAGGGCTCTGTGGAGTGGGGAAGGGGTAACTGAGCAGAAAGAGAAGGGACATCCTGGGGAAGGATGGTGGGGACTCACCTGGCCTGAGCGTCGACTGTGCAGCTGTGAGGAAAAAATGCAACATTAGACACCAAGCACTCAGTGACCCCTGTTGAGATTCACTTGGGATGGCTGGCAAAAATATTACAGAAAATATTTAAGATATATTAGGGAAAGTTATAGATTAGTCTCAAACCTTTTGGAAGGCCAAAAGGTTTTATTCGGGCAGACTGAAGGTGGCCGGCCAGCCCATTAAGTTAGGGAGAGAGACGATCAAAGGCCTTATGCCACACCCATTTGTCTCCACTGTAACTGTTTACTCATGTTAATTTCGTGCTGGGTGGCCCTCTCTGGGGAAGATCAAAGGGGAATTTCCTGTTAATAGCATTTACTCTGGGCTCCCAGAACCTAAAGCTTTTGTCATTCTTGTAACCATGTTAATTATCCCCAAGTGTGTTAACTTCGAATCTCTGCTGTAAAATCTCAATGGAATAAAAGTGTGATGGACAGAAGGTCTGGGTCGACAGGTTGCATTTCGCCCTCTGAAAGCAGCCAACGGCCATCCCTAGCCCACTTGAATCACTGCAAGGATTGTGTGAGAGTGCATTCTCTCATCGGTCGTTGAGTCAGGGTCTGCAGGTCAGACTTCCGCAGGCACTGGAGGCTGACGGCTCAGATCCCAACTAGAGTTAAGGCGGAAGTGGCTTGGGGTATCGACACCCTGAGCTGATGCCCTACCAGCACCCGCTATGAAGCCCTTAGTCCCTCAGGGACCCCACACACCCCAGCATTGCCTCCATTTCTGTGCCTGCGGCCCACTCTCTGGGAATATAAAGGTCACTTTGGGGCCTGGGACCAGCCACAACAACCTGGGTATCAACAGCAGGGAGCAGCACACAGCCACCCTAAGCAATGAGTTGACAAAGACACCAACTCTTCCTTGAGCTGCGATGAGCCTGGGGTTTGACACGGATTCCTGGTGATCCTCTGGGAGGCTCCCCCACTGTTTGTCACTAGCTGCCATCCTCCCACCCTTACCCCACTTCCCTGCCTCTCTTCACAGTAATCATAAGTGAACTATTTACACTTGAGTCCTTCCCTCTGAGTCAGTAGGAACTGACTGTATTACCTTGACAGCACTCAAGGTAATACAGTGTTGAAGGGGAGGGGAGGCTTCACCAACCAGGTCCCCAAAACATGCTGACCCTGAGAAGAAGCCTCAGGGAAAATAGGGGATATGAGTTATGAGGATGTTCCTGGAGCAGAATAAAAGGTTCCTCATTTCTGCTGTCAGCATGCTGGACCCTGTGTCTGAACACTGGTGCCTCAGTCACCTCCAAACCAATGTTGGGGCACTACTTGCAGCTTAGGGATCTGTGCTCACCATGGCATTGCACACACAGGCTGGATAACCCCAGCTAAACTCCAGAGCCACTGGATGACCAGGAAAGGCTTGGTGGGTGGGGGCCCTGGAGTGAGAAACCTGTTTGTTACTATATTCTCTGAATATAGTCTGTCCCTAGAATGGGCTCAAATGATTTTTTTTTTTTTACTAGAGACAGGGTTTGCCATCTTGCCCAGAGCTGGTCTTGAATGCCTGACCTCAAGCAATCTGCTTGCCTCAGCCTCCTAAAGTGCTGGGATTACAGGCATGAGCCACCACACCCGACCCTCCAGAGATCTTTGATGCCTACCTGAGCAGATGACACCAGCGTCTTCATGATGGCCACAGTTGTGGGAGAACCAGCCGTTGTGGGAGCAGCTCCACAGGTAGGACTCATACCCTGAGCAGCGCACGTCATCCAGGACAATGGGTCCTGAGCCCTGACCAAACCGGGCATTTCCTGGAGCCGACATGGCCCAACCACAGCCCAACTGCCTGCACACCACATTGGCATCATTGGTGTCCCAGCTGTCATCACACACGGTGCCCCAGGAGCCTTGGTACAGGACTTCCACCCGGCCCTGACACCTGTCACCTCCATTCACCAGCCTCAGGGCCAAACCAGAATCGGATCCTAGAGGAAGGCACAACATTTCTCTTGCACATTCCTACTGAAAGACAAGATCCAAGGGCCTGCAGGGCATTCAGAGTCTTCCCCATTCAGAGTCTTTGAGAGAATCTGTAACTAGGCTGGGCTCTAACACATCTTGAGGTTAGAATTCTTCATAGGGAAGAGGACAGTGACTGCTCGGCCCAAACCCAAGCCTAGTGCTTCAGCTAGAGGACCTGCCCCTCCTAATCTATATCCTGGAGGGGGCCTGGAGAGCCACATGACCCTTCTCAAAGCAGACCATGGGCTCTGCCTGATTCCCTCAGACAAGGGACACAGAACACCCCACACGGAAGAGCAGCACGATGACATCGGGTTGTCCTGGGAGGAGCTCTGATGCATATCTGGGGCGCGGAAGTTAGCATGGAGCACATTTTGCACATGATCTTCCTGGCCGGGATGGCTGGGGTCAGCACGCGGCTGTGGAGATGGGGGATCTAGGCTGTCACTCTGGACTGGATTCTGATCCCACTGGTCTCTACTTCCAAAGCACAACAGGCTGTTAGAGACGCCACATTCTGACTGATTTCTCCCTACCCCTACAAACATGGGCAATGGAGGAAGCTTCACTCTAGCTGACCTCTGTGGTCCAGAAGGTCACGGTGTGCTCACAACATGCCCTCCCATCCCATTCCCTAAAAGTTTTCCTGAATCACAGTCAAGCCCATGGATGTAGTTGGCATCATGACCTATAGAAAGGGAAGAGTAAAGCCAGTCTCACCCTCAGTTCTAGTGTTATCTGTGTTCTTCATCATAGGGAGGAGAAAGAGGTTAAGTCAGGCCTCACCCCATGGGCCAGAGGGAGGGGGAAACAGAGGGCTTGAGGAATAGGAGGGCCTGATGCATATACCATCAGCATTTCCAACTGCTCCACACCAACCCTGGGCAAGCCAGAGGTCTTGGTGAGAATGCTGTCCTTGAACTTCTCCTAGGGCCAAAGTTTCCCATGGGAAATGGGAAGTGACTTCCCTTCCCAAAGCCCAGGCTGCCAGAATCCCAGGCTGTATTGACTATGTCTCCCAGATTTCTCACTGGAGGTACCCAAGGGGGATGTACAGGACCTCTGATGCCCATAAGCTTAAGGATTGTGATTTCTCTCTGTTAGGAAGAAACAAGGGTGGCCTAATACCGGCTTAGAGAAAGGGCAAGGGCAAGGATGCTGTCCTAGCAATTTGGCTATGTTAGCAAGTAGGCACCTGCCTCTCAAGGCCCTGTAGCCAGAGATCCAGCACCCTAGCCTGGCCAGGGGTCAGCACAGCTGGGTGAGGACAACAGGAGTGAGCTGCATGGATAACAGAATCTCTAGAGACAGGACAACAGGCTCCATCTTGGAACTCCTTGGAGATGCATCTCCAACTTGATTCCTCCCCAGTCTCAGACACAAACCATAGAAGAGATGCCTGTTCAGACCTGAGGACTTATTTGGAAGGGCCCCTCTTGGGAGCTAAGTACCCTACTCTCTATGCCTCTGTGCCTTTTCTGGATCAGAGGTGAACCTAGGGGTGCAGTTGGGTAATAAGCCCACAGGGATCCCCCAGCGTAGACATTACCTTCTGCTACAGTTGTCTCCAGGGGCGCCTTCGAGGGAAACAGAGAAGCTGCAGGGTGGAGAAAGGAAGAGCTCATTGATGGTAGCCCTCTCCTGGGGAGGGTTGGCCCATGGCTTCCTCCGCTCTGACGCAGAGGTTGGAAGCACGGGTGCTAAGGGCACCCTCCATTGCCGCAAGCCAAACACGTGCCAATGGCTCTGTCACTCTACTGGTGATAGGCTTGGCTAGGATGCCACACGAGCATCCTTTGCTCTTGTTACTCTCCCCCCACCTCCTCTGCTGCCACAGCCTCTATTCAAAAAGTCACCCAGTCCATTCACAGCCCTTTCCTAGTCATAGGATTGAATGTCAAATGACATCTGTCTATTTCTATAGGTCAAACACACCCTCAAATGACAAATATTCACCATCACTGAAATACTCCTGAGAAGGTGATTCAACTAGAAAGAAAGGTGGTTTCCAAAGAAAACCAACCTTTTCAGAATGCCAAAATAAACCACTCACTAGGTGGCTGCATGGAAGGCCATGTCCCCATGGGGAGCCCAGTCCTACTTGGTGCTTGGATATCAAGGGCACATCCCGTGCAGGGTGGCATGGGCTCAGTCCAGTCTACACAGCAAATGCCAGAGTTGCTCTAGAAGTGGAAAGTTTAACCAGAAACTCCTCCTGCGGGAACATGCCATGGGACAGTGTCCTTGGAGGTTTCTTCACAGATCAAAGGACCCCTTGGTGTCCACACATCCTGGCTCTATGTGAACAACTGAAGTCAGCACTGGGATTTGCTGGGTTGGGTCCAGGAGAAGCTCTCTTTTCTACTGAGGATGTTAAGTATCTTTTATTTGTCATTTAATTCCCAATAAAGAGAATGCTTTGGTTCACTCCTCAATTTGATGTTGGTATACATTCATGTCTTAGGGACCAGCAGTTCCCTATCCTCCTCAGCCTTTAAAAGAGGAGAAACTGCCACTTAGGAAGATATTTATTTGGTGTCCCAGGCCAGGGGTGGTCGTGATGCTGCTCATCAGAACCAGTCCATGAGGTGATTGCATCAGCAGGCTCTGAGGGACTGAGACGGAAGCCTGCCTCCCCCACGCCCAGCTTCAGATGGACAGGCAGATGATCCCTTGACCTTCACTGTCTATGAAAAGGGGCAGTACCACCTGCTCTCCAACATCAATTAGGACATGACTTACAACAAAGCAAGTAAACTGCAGAGCACACATGTATGTACATACACAACTCATGTGTTGTGATACTGACTCAGACTTGCACATACACAGGGCAAGGTGATATCCACAATACCTGAGCACACGACACCAGCATCTTCCCTGTGGCCACATTCGTGGTTGTACCATCCGCTGTGGGGACAGCTTGACAGGTAGGGCTCCCTTCCCGAGCAATGCACGTCACCCAAGAGAATGTTTCCGGAGCCCTGACCAAAGTGGGCCCCACCCAGGGCTGACACAGAATAACCACAGCCAAGCTGCCTGCAGACAACATCTGTGTCCTGGGTGTCCCAGCTGTCATCACATACAGTGCCCCAGTAGCCTTGGTGCAGGACCTCCACCCGGCCCTGACACCGGTCACCTCCATTCACCAGCCTCAGAGGCAGACCTGCAGTGACACAGCGGGAAGCCCTTACCCCGGTGCTCTCGGCCCCTTTGACTTGCATCCCTACCCCCCTCATTCCACTTTCTTCCTCTGACCAGACCTTACATATCCCTGTGCTTACACGTTCTGTTTTTGCCCCCCTCTCCTTCTGTATCTTCCCCCTGGAGAACCTCACGTACTCTGAGAACTTTCTAGAGGGTCCCCAAATCCACCTCTCTGTCCCTGACTCAGCCCTGACAGACTAGCTCTAATCTCCAGACCAGCATTTTCAGTGGCCTCCTGCCCATCCCACCCCATACATCATCCCAAACTCAACACCACCTCTTCTTTCCATTTGAATTAAGGATGTCACCATGCTCCACATCAACCATGCTGGGAATGCAGGCATCATGTTGGACTCCTCCTTCTCCTCACATCCTGTATCTAACATCACCAAGGTCCTTTCCTTGTCATTTTCACTGCCGTTTCACCGGGGTAGGCCTTCATCCCCTTGAAACTGGCCTACTCCCAGCTGAATCTTCAATCTCTGCTCCTCCTTTCTCTAGTCCATCCACATGCATTGACTCAACCAGCACTGATGAAGTGCTTACTCTGCATTCGTTTTTGTGCTAAGAGGATTCATCGGTCTCCAGATGGTCTCCAAATTTTATCTTTACAAAGTACAAATGTATTCACCTCACTTCCCTGCTCAAAATGCTTTAATACACTCTCCACTTCCATCAGAATCAAGTCCAAGAGCGAGCCTCGACCTACTTTTCCAGCCTCCTCTCCTGGGAGGGGCTGAGACAGCCTGCATCCCACCACGGAGCTGGCCATGCTGGGAAGTCAAAATGCACCATGTTCCTGCCAGACACAATGCTGCTAGGCCACCCACTGGGGTAAGCTGCATTGACGGTGCAAGGAAAATAGGCACAAGTCCCGAGGGAGCAGCCCACCCTCCTAATGGCGGGAGCCAGATCCTGGGTATGGCTTTTCAATGGTGAGTTTGAGGTTACAAGAAACTTGTGGTCACAGAGTGAGAGGCTGAAATGGGATGCAATGGGAGGGGGCAGGTTGCTTTTCCTCCTAGAGGGAGGAAAGGCCAGCTGGACCATCTTCAGGGCATCCCCAGGGTGCATTCTGGACCTCCCATGCTCTGTCCCTCCCCAGTCTCAGGTACATAAACCATGGAAGAGGTGCCTGTTCAGACCTGAGGCCTTATTCAGAAGGGCCCCCCTTAAGAGCTAAACTTCCTACCTTCTATGTCCTCTGCACCTCTTCTGGATCAGAGATGAATCTAGGGGTGCAGCGGGGCAATGAGTCCCCTCCTGGTCACCCGGTGAATAATCCCTCCAGAAAAGTGCTCGGTCTCCCTGCCTCAGCCTTTTCCTTGCTGCATGTTGGTCAGAAAGCTGCCTTTCCCAGGCCATTTCTGGATCTCTCAAGGCATGTCCTGGAAGGGGAGGGACTGGCCTCAACAGTGCCAAGGGCCCAGGGGCAGAGTCATCCTAAGTGAACACATAGGAGACCCTGCAAAATCAAACTTGGGCACAAAGGTCTTCACACTCTCACTGGAGAGGCAGGCACATTGAGCCAAAGTCAAAGACCAGGGCAGGGGCAGAAGGAGGCACCTATTCTCAACTCAAATCTCTACCCTGCTACTCACCAGACACATGACCTTAGACACAAAAATATTGACAAATTACCTAATTGTGCCCTGCTTTTCCCATATGCAAAATGGGCATAATCATATTACTTAGCTCAAAGTGTTCTTGGGAAGATTTCATAACAGCACTCACTATGTGCATTAGTTGAGCACTTATTGTGTGCCATGTGGTATTTTAAGACTTTTTAAAATATATCAACTCATTTCATACATGAAAATCATTTGATACAGGGTGTATAACAAGTGCTTGGTAGATGTTAGTTATCTTCCAGATATCTGTCATTATTAGTGAAAAGAAAAGGGGAGCCGGGTGTACGTGCCTCATGCCTGTAATCTCAGCACTTTGGGAGGCTGAGGTGGGCGGATCACGAGGTCAAGAGATCGAGACCATCCTGGCCAACATAGTGAAACCCCGCCTCTACTAAAAGTACAAAAATGAGCTGGGTATGCTGGCATGTGTCTGTAGTCCCAGCTACTCGGGAGGCTGAGGCAGGAGAATCGCTTCAACCCAGGAGCAGAGGTACTGACCTTTTGTTTCAACTACCTCTCTTCACACCAAACTGAAGCTAATCTTATCTGATAAATGACTGAGAGTCAGAGAGCAAGAAAGAGGATGACATCTGGGATTGACTGGGTGTGCACCTGGGACATGCCAAGGGTCTTGGCACCCATGTCTCCTGCCCCCCTCTCCGTCCCCAGCATTCCTGCATTCGACAAGGTGGGCATTTGCTCTGTGACCACAGCTGTGATCAGCCTCAGCTAGCCAACAGCAACAGAGGGAAACTGACAAACCCCACCAGGGAAGAGGAGTGAAGAAAAGTTCTTACCAGAGTCTGCAGTCCCTGGGATCCACCCACCTGGAAAGAAGGTAAATTCGTTTTAGAAACACTATTTACAAATGATTTCCTACAAGTCACAGAAATTGGCTTTCGCTTCACCATACAATCACACCAGAGGGCGCTGTGGCTCAATCTTGGGTTTGTGTGTGTCTGATGTTCTTGCTCAATGAGTTTCACAGTAGCAGATTAAAGCAAGTGGATTAGACATGAGCAGCGCCATCATTTTAGGTGTAATGAAGCCCATGTCTCTTTACCACCCCCCTAACGCTACGGCTTATAGCGACAGGATGTAATCTACGCATGGAGAAAAGGGCTGGGCAAGAGAAGACAGTTTAAGCTGTTGTCCAGTCTGCAATTTGAGTATAGCTGGCATTGACAACAGCCACTTGGACGCCCTCTAAATAAGAAAATATGTTAGTGTCAGATATTCTGATCCTTCTGACCCATAACCTGAAAACATTTTATTCTACCTTGAAGCAAATAGAAATCTAGAGATTCCTGGATCTTTGTATTCAGTGAGGCCAGACAAGGTCTATCAGACTCAATTGCAGGTTTTGAGTTTCTTTTTGAGCAGTTCTAACTATACTTTTGAGTATTGATATTTCATAGCTTTTGTATATTTTAGCGGTCTTTCAAAGATCAGAGAGAATATGTATTCATTTAAAAAATAGGTTAAAACTCATTTTATCCTGTAATCACCATATGGATCCATTAGATCCTTTTATAAATCCAAGATTCATTATTAGCACCTGACTTCGCTTTTCCTGTATCTTGAAACATTTTACTATTTTATCATCCAAGAAATTATTGCATCATTATTCATCAATTATTATATTGTAAGAAAAGGGTAGAATGGTGATGCTGCCTAGAAGGAAGAAGAAATAGTGATATAAGTCATCATTCTTCCATGCGTAAAGTATTGTATTTTCTTTCAAGAAGTATTTTTTTAAGATTGGAGACCCTGTCTTCATAGTCTGCTTTTAGCTTTCATTGAATGCAGTTAAGAATTCAAATTTTTTCATTATCTACTAGTGATGGCAAAGAGAAGAAAATTAACAAAGGAAGATATTTTGCAACCATTAGATGAACCAGAAGAGGAATATAAAGAGACAAGACACAGCACTCCAGATACTAATAATTGTAGAACTGATTGCACAACAGAAATCTCAGACTATGAGTCTTCAGATGATGATATCCTAGATGAATTTCTCAAATCAAGAATCCAGAAGTCAATGATATAATTCTAAGGTAAAATATGATGCTCTTTACCCACTTTGATAGAGATTTTATCACATGATATTTTGCAGCAAGAACCTGGACCATCTTATTTTGCTTAAAAAAGGACATGTGGTAGTATTCTTTTGTCTTTTGTGATGTTTATATACCAAAATCTATGTGATACAAAAAGGTCTGCTAGGTTTAAATTCTTATTAACATTTCCAATTTAGTTTCTTTCATTGTTCCTTTTCTTTTTGCTTCCAGGTAAAAGGGGGATTAGGCATTTGACCAAAGTATCAGATCATTATTTTATTTTTAGAGACAGAGTCTTGCTCTGTTACCCAGGCTGGATTCAAATTCCTGGGTTCAAGCGATCCTCCTGCCTCCAGCGCTGGAGTAGCTGGTACTACAGGCATGTGCCACTACACCCGGCTCCTCAGATTCTTTGTCAATGTGGGCCCTGAGAGCATGACAATCATGGTTCAGAAATTGGAATTTCTCTAACAAAACCAACAGACCAGTGACAGGACTTGCTGTGTATGTCAGAGAACTGCTTCACCTGCCTCAATAGCCTGAATGTGAGGTCCACAATGGGCTTCCCCAGCTGCCCTGCTTCGTATTGATGGCTTAGGAAGGGGGCCGCTGAAACCATGTGACTATGCACCCCTGATAAGGAAGCAACTCACAATAGAAACCAGAACATTCTTTCAACAGAGATAGCAAACTAGGGAACATGTGTACCAGAACATCCCCACCTCATTTTTCACATGCCATCCCTGCTCCCACACTCAAGGACATGCTGACAGATGTGCCTGAGAGATCGTGCCATTCAAAACTCTGCCATTTAAACACTCTACATGACACCATGCAATTCCTACTGCCAATGGGTATCCTGGGTATCCTGCTTAATTTCATGGCAGTCAAACTCATCCAACTCAGAAACTCAGAGCTCCAGGGCCTTGACAAGGCTCATCTATAGCACGGAACAGAACATTGAAGTTGTTTCTGGTTCTGCTATGTCCACACATTTTGAATAGACCCTTCTGCACATATTGAGACCAATTTTTAGTCTTCCAAGAATCAACCACATAGCTGTAGATAACTCCAGCTGCCATTGTGGGAATGGTAGTAAATTACCTATGGGGGAAGCTCCCACTTGGTATTTTTTTTCCAGGAAATGGAGACAGGCTGATGTCTATCACTGGGGATCAGTGTCCAACATAGCTAAGCCATCAGAATGGCCCAACCAGAAGCCACTAAGAGATCTGTCAAGGTATCTCCCAAAGACATAAGCATTTTCTAAGTGATCCGGTGTCTTTCCATTTGAACTCTGTCACTGCCACAAATCTCATGAAGATGAGAAACATATCTACTGTGTATTTACTGCTGAGGAAGAGCTTGAGCAAAAAAAAAAAAAAAGAATAGGCAAGGTATCATCAAGCTAGCCCATGTCTACCAAGTAGGCTATTCCAACGATGCTGGGAGAGAGGCCTAAGGGGAGGAGCAGTACGGGAAGAGAGCCTAAGCAAACGTTCATTTTGACTTACTGTGAAGTGTTACTGTGTCTTCATAGTTCCCTGAAGATAGTACAGTTTTTACATATGTTATCTCTTTTAACCTTCCCACCAACCCTGCCATCTGCACTTACAGATGAGAAACTGAGGCACATTTGGAGAGTAGGTAAGGACACGGAGACTGTGGCATCCCTGTCCACCATCTTCCCCTGTACTCCCTCCTGCAAAACCACTGTCTGCTACCAACCACTCCTGTGGTTCTTGCTGATGCAAGGAAGGTGGTCCACACCAACCTACTTTCCATGGCCCACCAAAGGTGGGTCTTCAACGGGAAGTCACCCAGCAGCCTTGACCAAAGCTCCGCATTGCTTTTCTATTGACTTTGCAGCACTATTCAAGATAAGACCATTTTGATCCTCGCAGTTTTCATCTTTAAGGAGGTGGTAAGCCCTTACCCTTCATCCGTCACAAGCACCCAGGTTATCTCACACTCCCAGGCACTGCCTTTCCTGCTCTATAGCCTGCATCTGTCTCAGCACGGTTTAAGGATTTTGTAGATGGGAGCCTCATGTGAGCCCTTGCCATGGAGTCTCACTGTCCCCAAGTGAATGGAGACAGCCCGAGGGGGTGGTGTAGAGGAAGTGGAGGATGCTACAAAGTGGATGTGGTGATGGATTGTTCATTGCTCATTGTGTCAGTTTGAGACATGACCAAGAATGAGCTCTCCAGAGATTTCCTCATTGACCATGTCTGCAGGCTTACCCTTGCCCTCTCTCTCCAGATTTAGACAAGGACCTAAAAAGCAAGTAAGAACTGAAACTGACAGCAGCTGTGCATGCACTTGCTCTTTACCCCTTTATCCCCAAAGACCAATATTTTCCTGCCACCAAAGGCAAGCACCACTTTCCAAACTTCTCTGATCAAAAGTCTTTTTTCCTAGAGCTTCAGCAAACGTATCAAGAACACAGAGAAATGGGACTTCGGGAGAACCTCCCATCAGAGCACCACCCTGACTAGGCAGCACATTACGGCGGCTGCGCAGGGTGGAGAACAGATGGCTTCTGGCGGATGGTGGCTACGGTCAGTCTAAGTCTGTGTCTGTTTCTTTCAAGTTTCGGACAACAGTGCCAGGGAGTAAGAGGCAAACACTCTTCTTCCCCACTCTGCCTGGCTACTCCTGCACCTGCTCCAGACCTCAGCTCCCTGCAACTTCCTCAGGGTCTCTCTCCCGATGGGCTGCTCACACCTCTCCTGCCATGCACTCTGGCTCCAGTGCTTTTCACAATTGTCATTGTGCCTGTGTGATCAGTTGATGCGTCATCCCTGAAGGCAGGGGACATGTTCCCAAGCTGTGGGCTCTCCTGCTTAGAAGGCTCCTAGAAGGACTGGGGTTTTCCAGATGAGGTGGCAAGGATGTTAAGGCCATTTTGAGAGGTCAATGTTAAAAGTTCAGTGATAGCAATCTGCTCATGAAAAAGTCTTTAACATCAACAAGTCAAACTTAGGATGTAGCCAAGAACTGTTGGGAAATGTTAAAAATTTAAATTCACTTGATAACAATAAATTAAAATAGGCAGGATTTAAAGGACACACACACACACACACACACACACACACACACACACACACACACA